CTTACGATGTTTCAAAAATTGTCCTTTTTTATGAATGTGCCCCCGTCCTTTGGTGTCCTACACAATACTGCTATTGTTGTAAAGTTATATTTACTGCTAGTGTTGTAAAGTTATATTTACTGCTATTGTTGTAAAGTTATATTTACTGCTAGTGTTGTAAAGTTATATTTACTGCTATTGTTGTAAAGTTATATTTACTGCTATTGTTGTAAAGTTATATTTACTGCTAGTGTTGTAAAGTTATATTTACTGCTATTGTTGTAAAGTTATATTTACTGCTAGTGTTGTAAAGTTATATTTACTGCTCTTGTTGTAAAGTTATATTTACTGCTATTGTTGTAAAGATATAATTACTGCTATTGTTGTAAAGTTATATTTACTGCTATTGTTGTAAAGTTATATTTACTGCTATTGTTGTAAAGTTATATTTACTGCTATTGTTGTAAAATTATATTTACTGCTATTGTTGTAAAGTTATATTTACTGCTATTGTTGTAAAGTTATATTTACTATGTGAAAAGTAGTTTAACGATTAGTTACTGATTAATGTTCCTAGTGGCACAGTGGTGAACTTATAACGCTGAAAACCGGGCTTCGATACCCGCGATGTGCACAGCACAAATAGCTCACCCTGTGCTTAACTATAAGCAATCAAACAAGCACTGTCTAATATAACCTAACCCACAAACCCAGTCAAACGACTTTGTTTTCATCCTATCTGGCCTCCTTTTCCAATCACATATGCTTCCAATGTCCATTACTGCACTCAGAACGTTGTTCGGCTTTTCCGTCTTGGAGTTTTATGATGTGAGGTGGCGCGGAATGGTCGATTGGTTCAATAAACTCCAATAATAATAAAAAAAAAGAAAAAGAAAATAAATAAAAAGTTCACTCTTGTGCTAGTCTACAAATTCGAACGTTAGATTATAGAGAAATAAAACATGTATAGGTGAGTCTTTGCATTATAGGTTCAAAAACTTTAAGCTCGATGTTGGTATAACGGGCAAGCGAAACTGTCGTTATACGATTACGATGAAAATTCGTGATTTTTTATTTTTGACAGACTCGATTAATACAGCGTCCTCTATCGCACAATGATCGAGTTAATGTAGCGATTGATAACTGACAGAATAATTCGGCTTTGTTATGTCGCGTAAAGAGAAAGTATCTGAAAACTCACCAATAAGTAATTTATTTTTATAATAAAATTGTCCACCTACAATATAATTCCCTAAGAAAACGTAAAAATTATAATAATTCTGAAATTATTTATAGCTTAGTGCTGTAACCAATGGTGTGCTATAATTGTGTCCACCTATTATTTTATGTTTTTGTCATGACAACTGGATATAACCAGCGATTTCAAATCACGCAAGCTAGACTATTTTAACTTGTATTGTTATTAAAGTTCTTGGGTTATCTTTCTCGTATATTACTATTGTTGTTTTTTAAAGTTATTTAATCAATGTAATTTTGGTTAATTATTGAAGGTGATTTTGTTTTAATACTTGCTATTACTTGTAGTAGCTTTAGCTTCGTTCTTTTAGTTTCGACTGCACTATGTTGTTGTTAGTCGCTAGCTGATGTTCAACATCTGAGTCATGCGGTCGAAAGTAGTCCAAACATGGTTTCTAATTGGTATATACTGGTACCGTGGTATGAAAGTTGTCATGGAGACAACCAGTTAGGCTAGGCTATAACAGAGAATCTTGGATGAAGTATGAAGGCTGGGATTGTGATTTACAGCTCACGAGCTGAACTTCTTCCCCATGCTGCATTTAGCAAACGTAACTTTCTAAACCTAGATAGATATTTATTTATTGGAGATGGCGCTTTTAGAATTAAAGACATGCAATAGTTTGTACTTTTAATGTATTAACTGAAATTTTTATATTCGTTGAAAAAAAGTTTTTAATTCGTTTGAAATGTGAATATTTACTGTTGTAAGCTATATTTCAAAAGTTTTAATTTAAATATCCACTAGAAGGCGCATGACGTTAAGATCAAGAATGCCCAGAATAGTAGTCCTAGTACTTACAAACTTCCCGTATTTAATAGAAGTGGTGGGAGTTCAGTATGAATGCAAGCAGTTACCAATCAAGACTACTTCTGTTAAGTGTTATTAGTGAACTAGGCCTCCAGCTGTTTCTGTTGAAAAGTTTCTATTTGAAGGGGCTTTAGCAGACGTTAAAGAATGTATGTATTTATTTTTAATTGTTACGTGTGCTAGATCTCCACTATTTTTATTTACCAAATGATCAACAACAGTATTTTTTCCTACTCAAAACAAAAATGCAACTCAATGTTATAAAGAATGCTAATCAATAATTAAAAATTCAATTCAGTGCCAGTCAAGCTTCGAGTGAACCCAAAAATGGATCAAAGGAAATATATTCATGTTCAGGCTTTTTCTAGCGATAGTCTATTCGTATTCTAGTTGTTCCAGAGTTAGGCCTAAGCAGTAAATCGTAAAGCCACAGTTCTCCAACTGTCTTTTGTTTCCAGACCACTTGATTCTTTTATATATATATATATATATATATCTGCGGGCCACAATAAGATCTATACACTGTGCTGTCACGCCCTTTCAGTAATTATGCAAAGTTTTTGTACGCCACCTGAAGGTAGTCTACAGGACCACAGATTAAGAACCACTGTTATAAAGAACATAAATTATATTGAAACAGATTAATCCACTTCAAGTTATAGCACCCGATGGGAAAAAAATCACAAAACCCAAACACTAAAACTAATAAAACGAAAATATTTTATTTATCTATTTACTTCTAGCAATCAGAACACTCTTCACATGGCTTTACTTTTCTTGTAGCTGATCTAACGTGACTCTCTTCAAGGCCAGCATTTAGCCGCCTGATTGAGCGTGATAAATCTTAATACAGGATATAGCACAGTTACGCAACGTATATGTCATTTAATGTTGAAGTAACACCCAGGCTGTTGAGAATACTGGTTTTCATAAAGCTATAAATGTTGTTGTTTTTTTATTAGTCTTTAACATATTTCTATTTTCAATTCCGGATTTAAGTTGCTAAAAGTTTTTATGTTTCCTCAACACCAGTTACCATTATAACACTACACGGTAAAGTCGTATGTTTTCTCAACACCAGTTACCATTATAACACCACACGGTAAAGTCGTATGTTTCCTCAACACCAGTTACCATTATAACACCACACGGTAAAGTCGTATGTTTCCTCAACACCATTTACCATTATAACACCACATGGTAAAGTCGTATGTTTCCTCAACACCAGTTACCATTATAACACCACATGGTAAAGTCGTATGTTTCCTCAACACCAGTTACTATTATAACACCACAGAGTAAAGTCGTATGTTTCCTCAACTCCATTAATTATTTCAGCATCAAATGTGAAGTCTCATTTTTCATCACACCTGAGAATTACACGACATCCGTAAACTGGTGATTCATCACAGACTTACTCTTGTAGGTTTCAATTCCCTTGTGTATGTTCACTACAGTCTAGTCCCTGTAGGTTTCAATTCCCTTGTGTATATTCATTACAGTCTAGTCCCTGTAGGTTTCAATTCCCTTGTGTATATTCATTACAGCCTAATACTTGTAGGTTTCAATTCCCTTGTCTATATTCATTACAGTCTAGTCCCTGTAGGTTTCAGTTTCTTTGTGAATTGTTTTAGAATACTAAGTACATTAAATAATTTATTCAACATTAGTAATCTTTTTTATTCGTATAGGGGGCAGAAAACACAATGGCAGAAAAAATATTTAACAGAAATTCTTTGTATCATTTGGTAGACCTAGGGAGATTATTGCGTGTCCTTATTAGGATAAGTAGTGTTACGTCACTGTTTTTTCCAGGATAAGTAGTGTTACGTCACTCTTTCTACCTGACGTCTTCTAGGTCGACTCTACAGGTCCACCTGGTAGGTCAATCGTTTAATAAACTCTCAGAAAACAGTTGTTTTCATACAGCAAGATGTAAGACGTTTTAAAAACACAAATACTGGTTGTTTGGATAGTTGAGAAGTATCTATTTTCGCTGCATAAAATTAAATGTTTCCTCTTAGATTACTCAGTATGGAGACTTGCAGCGAGAGGGCGTTACCAGGCAAGCCCTGGAGTCTTTTAAAGCTACATTGTATCTGCCCTCAGACTTGCCCCTGAGCCACTCGTGAGAGAGTTAAGAATGAGTCTTTCACCTGTAAACGACATTTTTTTTTTTGTACAAGTAGTTTTAAGAAAGACAAAGACTTTAAGCGTATACTGTTAGTGTGAATACGAAGTCGAATGCATATCTGATCTAATAAAAATAGGTTTAATAAGTTACAGTTCAATTCGCATTACTGCAGTTAGAAGTTTGAAAAACACAAAGGACTGGAAGAGTTATGAGCATCAAAATACGACAAACATACACAAGGTAGAACAAACCTAACAGATTTTATAGAAAAACGCAATGCTCAAAATCGGGGTTAGTTTTCACGTGGTGTACAGAGCGGTGCATTTTATACAAAATTAACTGAAGAAAAAACGAACACCATTCATCTATAATAGATGTTTTATATTGATAATAATTACACAATAATAATAATAATAATACACAGATGTTTTTCATTATTTTGTACATTGTGTCGAGCAAGAAATTAGGACTTTATACTCATAAGAACGAAGAATACTGATGAATGGTAAATAAAACTTATGAATAATAATAATAATAACGTTCGTGGGAAAACTTTAAACAATACGGTTTAGGTTTTGTTTTTATATATATATATACATTTCTACTTTGTTTCCGTTAACTTGATGATATTTCTCATTGGGCGATAGTAACCAAGTCGCTATCGTTATAAGAAACAAAAACTTCATCTAGGTATCTTCTTTTTGGCTTGATGCGCCCTCTGGAGGCTGTAAAATGTCATTCATTCACGAGTTTTCCATTAGCTGGAAGTCCTTGTGCTTGTCTCCAACGGGCCAGTCTATTCTCGAACCATATCTGTTAGAAACAATGAAAACTAAATATACCAGTTTATTTACATCAATTTGTACATAAATAGTTAATGCTGTAAACTATTATATTATGTGATCATTTTGTCAGCACATCAAATACCCATAATCCTCTCCGGTATGATTCTCGGCAGTATTTGTCGTATTAAGGTAACCATTGTTGGGATATGAACTTTGTCATACTTAGGTAACCATTGTTGGGATATAACCCTTCTCGTATTCAAGTAACCATTGTTGGGATATGAACTTTGTCGTATTCAGGTAACCATTGTTGGGATATGAACTTTTGTCGTATTCAGGTAACCATTGTTGGGATATGGTTACCTGAATACGACAAAGGTTATATCCCAACAATGGTTACTTGAATACGACAAAGTTTATATCCCAACAACGGTTACCTGAATACGACAAAGTTTATATCCCAACAACGGTTACCTAAGTATGACAAAGGTTACCTGTTGGGATATAACCTTTGTCGTATTCAGGTAACCATTGTTGGGATACAAACTTTGTCGTATTCAGGTAACCATTCTTGGGATACAAACTTTGTCGTATTCAGGTAACCATTGTTGGGATACAAACTTTGTCGTATTCAGGTAACCATTGTTGGGATATAACCTTT